GAAGAATATATCTATGCACCTCCAGGTATGTAAAACTTCAGTCTTTACTCATGGAACACTTGGTGAATGTAATGCATTCATGACCTTTTTATAAGTTTCTGAAGGATTAGAATTTAATTCTTTCTTCAATTAATTTTGCCTACACCCTCCAGATCCTGACTGTGAACCTTCAACAATATTTAGTTCAGCAGAACCTACGGCAAACTTGGTAAGTGTTAGTTGCTGCCTGTTTGGATCAGGAATCCTTGAAATCTGTGGCATTCTTCATAGAAACTCTCCTTGGATGCAGGATTAATCTGGTAGGTCAGAGACTTCTGTTGGAAGAAAGGTGTGATGGTTTCATCTGTGTATTTGCCCCCTGTTGCCTCCCAAAATTGTGACGTTTTTGTCTGAGTCTGCAAGTACAGTCTGAATTCTACTAGTTTAGATACACTGACTTTCCACCTTCCCCTCTGCAAAGAGAGAATGTATTTGAATGCTGTTTACTTTGCTTCTTTTTCTGCTCCAGACAACACTTGCTTTTATCATGCTACCCTTCAAGTCCTATTCCAGTTAGCCTTACTCCTCCACTGTGGGACTGGAGAGATCTTACCTCTGATAGAACTGACTTTGGAATATGTTGTTTGTTTGTTTTTAATCTGAAACTAAATCTCTAGTCACCTGCTGGCCTACAGCGGGTGTGAAAGCCAGTCTGTGCATGTCCAAATTAAACTGCCTTTACTCGAGTTACCAACGAACCTCTGTGTGTGTAGTCCATAAATAAATTTTAAAATGTGGGGGTGTGCCTTGTGACTTCCTTGCCCCTTGAATGGACCATGCTTTGCTTTGGAATCTCTTCAGGAAGAAGGGCCAGTCTCTGTATCACCTCAAGAGGGAGTGGCCTCCTACAGCTGTACCCAGAAGGTAGTATCTAGTACTTCATTGTGGTTGCCCTGTGGGGGAGAAGAGGTGACCACTCTGCTTCCTTAGTGTCAGTTTGTGGGGCCCCTCTACCTGTCCCTTACAGCATCTTGTAGCAAGGAACACAACTCTGTATAAATGTAAGCACAACAGGAGGATGAGATGGTGCCTTGCAGGTATCTGCAACTCTAAACTGGTATTCTCAAACCAATTTTTAGAGACCTGGGAGAGTTAACTGCCTTTACAGCTAGGACTGCCATCATGCATTCATAGGAAGTGAGAATTACTGAAGGATGTGATATTTCCACAGGCTTTGTCAAAAACAGCTGTAGAGGCAGTCTGCTGACTACTCTGTCTCTTTTCCAGGTGATGGTGAACTCTGCAGCAGTCTCAACCTCAGCAGGTGTTTATGCTGCTCCAGCTGCAGCCTTCACCTCCTATTCTGCTGTCTCTACTCCAACCAGTGCCACCACAGCAGTTCCCCCTCAAACAGCTGTCCCGCCAGTCATAGTCTCTCCCCTGTCTGTAGGGCGGCCAGGGCCAGGTAGAGTGTGCATGTGGCTATGGACTTGGATGTCTAAGTCTTTGGTTACATCTTCCTCTCTCATTTTTCTTCCTACCTATGCAAGACAAATGTTAAAAGGCTTAATAAAAACAGTATCACTTGCTTTGGCTTAAAATGATGTAATAGTAGTTGTAGCTTCACTGCTGACTTGTTGCTCTCCTATTTTGAAGGGGACAGTATGCATGGGAGTTGGAGGTCTCTGATTTGGGTTCCCCCCTCACTGCCTATATTGCCCTGAGGCTTTTCTGTCTGTTCCAGGAGAGTCTCTGGCTGTGATGGTTCAGGATCGACAAAATGTCCCGCTTTGTTTTTCTAGACATTATTTAGCTCCTGTCCTTAGTTACTGCTGTGCAAGGAGGTCAGCTTGGTGACTCCTTGCATGGTGCACTTACCACCTGAACTGCTACCTACTTTGTTCTTGTGAAGTGACTGTTAAGGAAAAAAAGCTTTTTTTCCTTCTTATCAAGAGGACTTTTTGTGTCTTCTGTAACTTCATTTAATATTCAAAAACCCCTCCACCTTCCATTCTGCTCAATTCAGTCTCACTTTTTATTCTCCATTTTTCTTCCTGGTTTGTTTTCCACTCTGTGAGAGCTTATTTGGCACAGTTCTCTAAGCTGTCTCCTCGCT